GAATTTTTTTTACTTTTTTCTCGTTTTTGACTTTTATTGTTTATTTTGCTCATGTAACCCCCCTATGTAATACCCTCTCACGAGGGCCTTTAGGGGTATTATGAATAAATAAATAAATAAATTAGAGGAGGTGTCTAGTCACTCTCACCCGGTACTTTGACTCCCGTCTGAAGCATTATATTGGTCTCCCCTTTCACGATGTGCTTTTCCAGGGGAACATCAATACGGCTTGCTACAGATTGGTTTCTCACAGGTTAGCTCGATAACGTGTTTAATCACCGTCTTTTTTAGGACGATCCGAAAACACGTCTTTAAACTCGGAAACTCAAATCCTCCTTCTGGACTTCACTTAACCTTGGCTCCAGGTTCAACTCCGCAAATATTACCTTTGATCCCGTTTCGGTTACATTACTAGAGGTCAAAATTTTGCTGCTTCTTCCTCTGACGCCTTTTTCCCACTGCTCCCAATTTCACTTTTTCTGTTAGCAATTTAATAGAGAAGAGTTCACGCTGCTCTCAAATGAGCGTTTCTTGATCAACACTTGACAGCTCACACCAGCTTTTAGCTACAGGGGAGAGCGCAGTGCTGGTCTCGCCCAATGGCACCATTTCTGTACCACCACTCACAAAGACCACGCTACCCACTTCGGCTACGGGCGGCTCGAATAACTCAACAATAGTGTTTCCTGTCCGCAGCTCGGACGCCTTTGCAGGTGGTGTTTTACTGCATTGAACAAGATTGAGTTCTTGCGAAAGCTTCCAAGTTTGCGATCGTGTAAGGGCCATGTAGTTCAAGTTGAAAAAAAAAAAAACGATTTACCCTTCTATTTGAGAAGCGGCACATTTATTAAAAAAATAGCAAAAACGATCAGGAAGCTCAGCTGACCGCCGCTTTGGTGTGAAGCTTACCGAAAGACCTTTCATTGCCAACTATAGCGATCGGTAAACAAGCAGTCTGCTCCTTGGTGACTTGCTTAATCTACGTGCATTTTCCTGTTAAGTCGTCAGGATTTATAAACGAAGGATGAAGAATGTCCATGGTTGCCAATGAGTCTCGGAGTGCCCGAAACGTTTTTCCCACCCGCACTAGTTTCCTGGACATAGCGCTTTCTAACAACCGCATGTTTTTTTAGACTCTATGATTGTTGCGAAAGCAAACGTTTCTGTACAATTAAACGCGATGTGCCCTTCCTTTTTACAGTTATAGCTATAGTACCCGCTTTCGTGACTCAAACTCCTGTGTGGTATCAGTGCACTGTTCAGGAAGCTCACTCGATTTCTGCGCTTCCGTATCCCCTTCCTCTACAGTGTCCTTCATCAGAGACGGGTCCTTTCTGAATTTACATTGCGGAGTGGGCTTCGGTTTATCAGGTTTCTCTGGAAAGACCCGTTTTTTTTCGCTTTTTTCAACGCGTGCTGCCCTGTAGTGCAAATTTTGACAAATACAGCATTCCTAAGCTAACTCTGCTGCCTTGTTTATCTGCACTTGGCCAATGTTTATAGCCAGTGTTGCTCTTCAGCCATTCAAATAAATTGGCTTTAGGACAAAATGGCGAAGGAAACGTATGACTTATTGCACTTTTTCGGATACCGGCTCTTTTGTCGGAAAGAATCGGGTAAGAACTTATCACATCTCAAGAGAACTTCCTTAACCTCGTCATAGGTTTCAAACGCATCCCTGGACAAGCATTTTTTCCCGTCGGGTGCTTTTTCTGAAAGTATAGAACTAACAGGTCCAGCACCCAAAGAGGCCGCTCAATTGCATTTCGCTCACAGACGTCTTCGAACTTGACGAGATACTTCACCGTGTCTTCGCCTACTACGAACAGTGAGAGTTAATCGGGGATTATATGACCGCTGACCTGAACCGTCGCAGAAGCAAGGCAATAGGCGCGCGTGAACACTGTAAGAGCGCCAAATCTATTCTTTTCAACTCAAGAAGCTCCTATCATTTGGCGTCCTCATGGCGTTCTCGTATTTCAGCCTCCTCACGGTCGCGGAGTTCTCGCCTTTCTGTGTCCTCTCGCTGTTCTCTCTTTTCAACCTCCTCCGGCGTTCTTTGATATCCGACCAAGCCTCATCGACTTCCTCAGCCACTACTCCCTTCTTCTTCATGATCTCTGGAATCGCTGGCTTTCGTTTTGCACGGCCCAGAGTAAGGTCATGTTCCTTGTAAATTTCGAAAAAAGGTCCTTCACTTTAAGGTTTTTCATTGTTCATACTAGCCTCTTGTTGCTTGCCCTTGTTTCGAATCTACTTGCCATACAACTATAAGTCTACTAGCAAGACACGCAAGCAATTTTATACACTACCATGCTTACACCCTCTGCTATACTTTGGTGTCAAAGGCACTCTTTCCTGGCCTGAAACAATCAAAGCTCACTCCAATGCTTCACACTGACTTTCTTTAGACTGCTCTTATTTGTGCTGGAGCAGTCTGGTGAACTGAGGGGCGAAAATTGGACGATTACACGTCCAGAGGGAATCGATAATATACGTAGCACGAGTAAGGAAGGTTGAAATGTCCCCTTAAATTCACCACAATGTTACGAGGCGGACGCAAATTATGTCGCACATGACTTTCATGTCAAGATTATCCTGTTTACTTCTGTCATTTAACTTCGTTGTCTATTCACGCCATGTGATACCGAATTGGGTACTTGTTGAGCTAGCGAAATGGCTGCGAGCCGCAAAATTATTGGTCTGTCTATCTGTACATTTGCGGGTCCTCGAGACGGCACCAGCCAATATCCCAAGCGGCCGACCCCACCCGCAGCGCTCACCAATGTTGCTCAAGCTTCGGCATTCATACTTCGGCGATTGTCAATTAAAAAGCAATTATTGCGGATATCTGAGGCACCATAACAACACGTATATATTCTGTATGTGCGTCGTTTACTTGAAAAGGCATACATAAGTAATTCTAAAAACCGTAGCGTTTATCACGCTGCGCTAACCATGCAACGCTTGCGCGAAAAGGCGAGTGCTTCCAACGTTTTGCTGAGACGACTAGGTGGTGGCACCTACCTGTCGCCTTGCGTTCATCACCTTATCACCTCTGAGACGTGCGAGCACACCCGTCTCAGAGGTGAGAGGGTGTTGCTAATAGTACTGCTAATACTACTACTATTACTACTAAGTAATAGTACTACTGCGACTATTGTTGCTCCTACTGCTACAACTGCTGCCGCTGCTCTTCCTCTCCCTCCTACTCCTCATCCTTCACCTCCTACTACTGCTACTAGGTACGTACAACTTGCATTACAGTGGGACACTAAAAACACAGGCAGAAGGAAGGAGAAAACGAGAAAGAAAAGACGGCGCTGGCTATGAAGTGATTTTTTATTGAAAATTGAATTGTGAAGCATATATATAGCACATGTAAAAATTGTGAGATGCGCAAGACACGCGAGACATTCTGGCAGCGTTGTCATACATAAATACATTGAATATCGACACAAGTAATCAAATTCCTTCTCGTGCAGAAAAACAGACGATTCAATGATAGAGGTCTTGTCTCTAATCAATATGTTATAAGCCTCAGCAACTTCTCTTACAAATTGATTCACGTGTTTAAATATGACGACGGTGTTTTAAAGATGACCATCACATAACCTGCAGTGGACTGGCAGGTGAAGTTGTGCAACCCTTTGCGTAAACCAAGTTCACGATGAATCCCAACCAACTGGCCCAACTTGCTGTCTTACTGCAATAGTACGACTGCTACAAGTACTGCTGCCTTAACTACTACTACTACTGCCACTACTACTACTACCACTACTACTACTACTGCTGCTGCTGCTAAAACTACTACTACTGCTGCTGCTGCTTGCTGCTGCTTCTGCTGCTGCTGGTACTAATATTACTGCTGCTAGGAAGATGGCAGAGAGCAGATTACACACCTTCACATTTATTTATTTCGATACCCTAAGGGCACGGAGGGCATCACACAGGAGTATCTTTAAGGAGTGAACGACAATGACATTTCAGGCATACAGTCATTAAAAAAGGAGAACTATATATGCAATGCAGAAACATCATATTCCAACTAAAGATAATATTAAGATACTTTCTAGGTTTGTTCACTTTCTAAAACCAACAAAATCAAACATGACATACAGTACAAAATACAATAAAACAATGAGGTTATTTACTGAGAAGTGTTATTACGGTCGAGAAACTTGTGGAGAGCTAACTGAAGACACTAATGATCGTCAAGAGTGGCGATGTTAGATGGCAGTTATTTCCTAAAATCTGCAAGAAGGGAATCCTAGTATATCTCAGTCTGAAAAAAAAAAACGGTTTGACATCATGGGCGTGGTGTAACCTGAACAAAATGTGGTGCGCGGGTAAACTATGAGATCACGAAAAAGACGTGCTGCAATGGTAGAAGATGTGAAAGAAGGGTGACCGGGCATGTGTTCAACTCAAAGTGAGTCATGCATAATAAGAGTGGTTTTATTTTTTTGACACTTTGAAATCAAGAAGAAGGTCATAGGATGAACCAGGCTACTTTGTTTTGAACTGATTTGAGGTGATTATACCAGGCGACAAGATGGGGAGGCCAAATAACAGATGAGTATTCCAAGAAAGGAAAATGAGCGAGTTATGGGCAAATTAGCCGGTGTCACGGTTCGCGGGATGAAGGTATTGGTTCAAGATGCTGATCTTTTTTAAGACTTTAGAAGTATAGTGTATTATATGGAGTTGTTCCAGGACAAAGTCGAAATAAAGATTACATCTAAGTATATACATGTCGACATTGTGCCAATTGTGATATTGTCAATTGTGTACGAATTGGTGTAAAAATTTGTTGCCATATTAAAGGTGCTTTGTTTTATCTACTTTCATTTGCGTCTGCCTCACGGAGCACCAATCTATTAGTTTACAAGAGGCAGATTGTGAGTGAATAATGTTCGCAGGAGTCGAGGACCAGGTAACAGAATCGGAGCTCGTTTATGTACAGCTGGCGTGGTTTCCTGTCTGCGATTGAGCACAGCGAGGCATCTGCGCATTAGTGTAGCTGGCATGCCATCAGGGCCGTTCGGCTTCTTGTACTCTCAAGGCTTGGCTTGCTTCTTCTACCAGCTCGCATTTGAACCAGGTGAATCAGTGTTAAGAGCAGGAAAGGTCACGTGTTCTATAAAAGAAAGAAACCTGAAACGTCTCGAGGGTATTACAACGCTTTACTGACGGTGAAATGTCGGCCAGTGTGAAGGCATTCCATTATGGGGACATTACGTCGGCGCGGGAAACGTTCGTAAACATTTATTTCTAGTTTTCTTGTGGTCCCTGCCTTGTTTCACTCTTTCTTCATTTACACGTGATAACTCTTCTAACTTCATTTTAATTTGAATTTCAATGAAAGTATATTTTCGATGAGACTAATTTAAGTTTTTCGAACAGAAATTCGAATTGTGAAGACACCCGGGACATTACTTGCGTTTAACATGCGTGCATCTTCATTGATGGAACTACCGTATACAATACTGGAAATGATCGCGGATATAGTGGAAATAATGCCAGGTATATTAGCAACCATTATGGCTATAGTGTACAGCGGCGCGTGGCATGGTGTACGCTACATGGTATGATGGAAAGTAAGGTGGAGAGCACACTAAAACTAGTGGATACATCGGTAGGACATTGCACCAACTATTACGTGACTGCTTCAAAACGGCACGAGAATGGTGGGTGAGGAAAATGATGATTCACCATACTAGAGGAGCTAGGCCAAACCGTATCATCAGCAGTTATCTTTACAGACTCATTATCAGTATGTAATGCACTTTCTGCGGCAGCAAATTTAGAGCTGATGAATACGTTTCGGCATTTAGTATCAAAAAACATATCAAAACTGTGTTTGTCATGGGCACCAGGCCACCGTGTATGATATTTGAACGAAATGGCGGACTCTTTAGCAGCACTACCCCTGAGTGAGCCCACCATCCTAGTTTTGCCAGATACGGCTTACGTGACAGCGCTAAGGTTCCGAAATGTATGTTTGCAATGTGGAATAGGTAGTGTGGATAAATTTAGAGATTTCGAGCATTTAAGTTATTGCTGGAACAAACAGGGGTGTGTATCTCGCCAGTTAGAGGTCACTGACACCAGATTGCGCTGTACAGTTCCACAACTAAATTATTATCTTAACAAAGCTTGACTGAATACGTCACCGATGTGCATGTTTTGCAACGAAATTGAAACAATTGAGCAGTTCTTTTTTATTCTGTCGTCGTTACTCCTATCAGGAAAAAAGATTTTTAGTAGCCCTAATACAAAAGCTAGCAATACAAGTAAATGTACCAGTACTTTTATCACTTGGCGGCACTTCATTTGGTTACTGCCACAGGGATATATGCTCCACTGTGCATGACTACATCAATGCAACTAAAAGATTACCATGCTAGTGAACCCTAACCTTTTCAGATGTTTTGTTTAGAATTTGTAGCCATATCTGTCAGGAACAAGAGATGGTTTGACTGCTTTCTCAGCAAAAATTTAGTTTATTGGCAGTATTATCTCTAAACTAATGTTTAAGCTTGGCTTTAATTTCATTTTAGTTTCATTTAGGTATCCTTCCGCACGGTTCTTGGCCCATCCCCCTCTGTGTGTGAGCGCTATCCATCAGAGGTCATCAGCATCAGCATCAGCATAAGCCAAACCGTCAAGGCAGCAATGACGCTACAGCAGACAGCATCGGAAGTCAAACTTCTTGAGCCCGTCAGGAGTGACCACAGGCGTCGCAACGATCGTCCTTCGACATTTCTTTCCTAACATGACGACGCAATGCTACAAGTTGGTCTTTGCGTTGTGATTGTGTTTCTGCTGAAGGAGATAACTTTTTGCGGACTTTTTTTGGTGTGTGTTATGGTCAAGTCATTACATAAGGTGAAAGTTCTTGAATGAATATGATCTGTGGTATGCGCAATCGGAGCGAGCAGCTGCTGCCAATTCCGGAGCACCATTCCTTCGTTGCTGATAAACGTGATTAGTCTTGTAATACACCGTCTTAAACGCTTCCACACACCATCACTGAACAGCGGCGGAATCATATCTCGTAACGCCTTCTGTCACATGAAAAGTGAACGCGGCAGTTTGTGCACTTCAGGAACTCTTCTAAGAGGCTCTAGATCGACGGATGCCCACAAACGGGATTGTCAGCGTATGCCGACTGGTCAAGCCACTAGAAGACTGGCGGACGTCGCAAGAGTACGCCACTAAGCTTTTTCTTTGTTTTTTTAGAAAGTTAAGTGTGTGTGAGTGCTACTCTGTGTATGTTTTGAAATATTGTCATGGCTAGGCGCAGAGTTTTCTTAGGAGGGGGGGGGGGGGGGCAAACGCGATGATTTTTTACAGCACACACCTCATCTTAGGTGGATGAATAGATGGATTGATATGGCTGTACCCTTTACATCGGGTGGTGCATAACGCCACCAAGCCGCAATACTTAGTGAACCAAAAACCAGATTTATTTTTTTTCCTTTAAATAGTGAGGTTGAGGAGTCGTCCATTGCAGTTAAGGGTTTAATTTTCACTCGTGCCTTGACTTTAGCCACCAATCACATAATCTCTTTCAAGTTAATTCTATTCGCTTAAAGTCTATTTTGCCCTCCCGGTCCCTAAACCCCAGTGCTTTGAATAACTCAGTGCCATCATCCTGAACTATAAGGTGAAGCCCTTTACAGAGCATTATCAAGTGTTTGGCAGTTTTCTCTTCCTCTCCACATGCACTGCATACCGTGTCTACCCCTTCGTACTTGGCCCGATATGTCTTGGTTCGCAATACCCCGTCCTGGCCTACAGCAGTAGAGAACTACCCCGAGTATTATCGTAGACATTTTCCTTGGCAATTTCCTGCCTAAATGTTCGATAGATCTCTAATGCGGACTTCTTAATCATGTCTATTCTCCACATATCGGTCTCAGCTTCCTTCACCTTGTTCTTAACCGGCAATTCTTTTTGGTTAGGCCCCCTTCTCTTTTCTAAGTGTTTACCCGTCAATTTCCTGGTTCGCTTCCTCCCTTTTGTATCGACATTCTTTATGTACAAGTAGCTGAATACCTTTCTAGCCCAACGCTCCTCCACATTTCTCTCTATCGCTTCTCAAACTTTATTTTGCTGCTAGCTTCCCTGCCCTCAAATGATGTCCATCCCATATCACCTTGTACAGCCTGATTTGGTGTATTTCTGTGAGCTCCTAAGCCAAGCCTACCTATTCCACGCTGCTTAATTTCTAAGCTTGCTTGATTGTGGTGACTGGTCTTGGTGATTGCGGTGAATCTTGCTAATTGTGGTGAAGGTGACTTGGTGACGTGCAGTAATGATAGGTGACGTGCAAACACCTATCATTATTGTCACAGTATGAGAGACACGTTGTGGCCGACCGAATCACACACTGTGCTATTTTTGCCGCGGCCGCCGGCTACCGCCCATGTAAACCACGAACGTGCTCGTCCTCCTTCTTTTCGTAACCCGGGTGGCATATCCTCTCCCGAGCCACATCTGCCATGAGCCGGCAACAAGCGGGCTCGTCTCTCGAAAAATGTCGCCCAAAAAACGTGCTGTTCCTTATCACAGAAATATTTAACTACCGTCACTACATTTAGTATAACCAAACTAAAAAAATTGCGGAGTGGAAATTGGTGGGGCATGATAGGTTGTATTAGCCAATATTAATTTAGCGTTCATATTTTCTCATTTAGTGATGCAATAATGAATTTAGGCGTTCACCTATGTGCGCTTTTACAATTTTATGTCGGAAATGGCAGGAATCTGTTCAGAAGCCATCCTTGAAGATTGACAAAATGGCGAAGTTGGGCTTCGTTGCAGGACGTGGGTGGGGTAAGAGTGGTGGAAAGTGCAGCGTGAGTGCGATCTGGCTGGCTGTGTAGCTCCCCCGGCCGACTTCCGGCATTGTTCTCTGTGAATTTGATTGGCTGCTGCAATGTATGTGAGTTTATTAAGTTTAGGCTTTGGCTTTCTTGTTTCTTTTTTTCTTGATCAGCACGGGCTTGCGGATCGCGTGGTTATCTTGTGAAGTGAAGTTTATTTACGTACACAACTAACAGCCATGTGCTTTAACCGAGATTGATTACAAGAGCTGCCATCAAGCTAAAGCTGCAGGCTTGTTGCGAGGGCCATCACCTCGCAAATAATGACTATTGCGTTTACGGCTGCTCAGTAGAAAATTATAATAACAGCCGGTAATGGCTGACGAGCCATAATGATTTGCAGTGCTATTCCACTGTTTTATGAAAGACACGTTTGAACTACCAAGAACAGCGCGTTAATACAAAAAGGAATGGGCAGATCTCACATACAGTGGGAATCGATGATGTGCGAAGCACGAATGAGGAAGGTTGATATGTCACGTTAATAACAGCCCAACGTTACGAAGCAAACGCAAATAATGCCGTACATGACTTCAATGCCATGATTATCGCCTTAGAACGAGTCATTTACTTTTGTTGTGTATTCAAGTCACGTGATACCAGACTTGGTATCAATCAATCAGTGTCAATCAGTGTTTATTCATTGAACTGAATACAAAAATGGTTACAAAATATTTGGACCATTAACCTGTGTGGCTAGTTAGTGGTGCAATCTAATACATGAATATTTTTACATGTCTGGAGCAGAGGAGCACATGACACGTTTATGAATCTTTATACAAGTTTACTAATTGAATAGCTTGAAAGGTACAATATAAATATATATAATGAAAGGCACATCAAAATACATATGAAACTGCTACTAAGTCTTCATTACAAAAGTAATAAAAAATGAACTAATGGCATACATTGTGTAAAAAGTACACAAGACGGGACGACACCCGAAAAGAATGCACAAAATTTTTGCATAAGGCTGCGTTGAAGAGGTAAATAACAGTCGTACTTGAATCAGACCCAAGAAGAAAAATTGGCGGCGTATCTGCATGTAATCTGCAAATGTCGTCGAAAGACAATAGTCTAGAGTGTGGAGAGAGTGAACACTTTATTTGATGATCTGCGCAAGAAAATCTGTGAATGGTATTTTGGAGGCGCTGTGTTAGAGTGCCTAGAGCGTGCAGCGGGGGTGAACAAGTGCATCAAGGCACGTCACACGTGAGACATAAGCGCAACCTGGCAGTGTTCTAGGAAAACGAAGCGTGTGGCTCTGAGATGGGTCTGCACGCCCGTCTCAGAGGTGATAAGGGGTAGAACGCTAGGCGACGGGTAGGTGCCACCACCATCGCATTTTAGCAAAGCATTGGA